TATCTCTATGTCAGAAATGGCATACCGAAATGAATAGTTATGTATAATAGTAAATCTTCTAAATGAACATTGAATACAATAGCGTTTTGGGAGCTCAGTCTGAGCTAAGCGTTCCCGTACACTTCGTTAAGGATCTAGACCAGGTCTTAAAAACGGACCAGATTTAATCTGTACTTAGCTCTAAGCGTTCACGACCGTTTTCTTAGCACGGGCTAAGGTATTTGACCCCTTAGCCATTCCTAAGGAGCTGTACAAATAATACTTTTATTACTAATATGTTGGAAGTAAATATATGTTCAAATGAAAGGATATTGCCAGATACACTTACTGTAAAAAAAATATTTCAACTGGTATTAAGATTTTTTGGGTGTTTTGCATGGAATTTATTTTCACCGATTTTCGACAAGTTGAATGTAAAATATAGGCAAAAAATATATTCGCTGGATTTAATTTTCACTGAATCATTTCTTCAGCGAAATTGGTGAAGATTAATTCGAAATTCCAATTACAGTATCTAATTTGAATGCACGTAGTACATTAGGACAACTATCTCTCACCTGAGACATATATGCAGGTATGCCATGCTACGAAGCTTGACCAAACAGATCAGCGCAGAACTGTTTCAGTCAACAGTTGCCATGGTGAATGTGTGCCAAACTACACACATTCACAATTTCTATAAAAATCATTTAATTTACAAAAAACATCCGCTAAGAACGAACAAAATTCCTGTGGTAAGCATAGTTGAACATAGGTGACCTTGCCCTTTGTTGTATAATATTATTGCCTTTATCATAGTTTGTTTCAATATGAATATGCATTGTCATAATTAATTTTGAATACAAACAAGTTTTGGGGTTGGAAAAACAGTTGGAATGTGTAGAGTGTTTCCAGAGAGTATGTCAATGCTGGATTGGTCTTCCCTATCAAATAAGACAAACGAAAGTTTCAAACCCGTTTTTGTCAAAACCCACTAACAATAAACCCAGTTACTGAAAGTAGCAAAGGTAATCCACTATAATAGTACTAGCACTTTGAAAGGAAATATGAAGGGGAAAACAGTGATACAGTGATAGTCATTTTCATGAATCCAATTAAAAAGATTACAAACATATTTTCAACACATCAAATCCGCTTAGATATGCAGAGGTAATTTCTGGCTACCATTGAAGTGACAAATGTCAAAACGCATTAAGAAAACGTTTGAAACATATTTATCTAATGCTTAGTTATTTCCATACTTTTTGTCATGCTAAACACATATGCATTAAAAATGTGTTTACATATAAACAAGAAATCAAGGAAACGTAGTGACATGTAAACATGTATCTACCTATAGTGACATGTAAACACTACTGTACCTACCGGTAGTGACATGTAAACACTACTGTATCTAACGGTAGTGACATGTAAACACTACTGTATCTACCGGTAGTGACATGTAAACACTACTGTATCTACCGGTAGTGACATGTAAACACGACTGTATCTACCGGTAGTGACATGTAAACACTACTGTATCTACCGGTAGTGTCATGTAAACACTACTGTATCTACCGGTAGTGACATGTAAACACTACTGTATCTACCGGTAGC